TTGCCTGACAGACATGCATAGATTAATACATACATTAATTTTATGTTATAAATAAAGAAAATTGCTTACTGCTCCTTAAGAGGTCAAGGTTATCTTCAGGTTCATACTGAAGTGGTATACTACACATATCGAAATGTTCTTTGTAGAGCATTATAGATAGACGGTGTTTCCTTTTTGGTAAGCACACTAAATGTAAAATTCAGTGGAATCCCGCCACAGCTCCCCTCTCAGGGCCTATGTACCACAAACTGTTGCAGATGGAGAGGCATTGGAGTTGAGTGCCTCCAATAGTAACTGCCCTTAACTGAGTCTTAAGCACATGGATCTTGATTTGATGTATTTTACAGAATCAAATATCTCATTTTTACATTTCTGAACTGGGATAAAACCAGTTCTTTCCCATCACCAGCAGATCTTGCATTAGAAAAGGAAAACAAACTAATATACCACTTTCAGCAACATCAAAAATGTCATTAAACCTGAATGGAGGCCTAATTCATTTTTGAAGTTTAATTATATGTTGAAAGAGTCAGTTACTTTAATCATGAAGACAATCACCATAATATCTCTGCAGAGCAAAATCATCCCCATTTATTATTCACCAGCAGGAAGAACTTACTGTAGACTTGGCTGCCTCTGTTCAGGGACCTCAGCCAGCTCCTGTCACCCATGGCCCCCTTCAGGTTCACACAGTAATGTGGAAACTTGGGGCCAAAGTAATCAGAGGGCAAGAGAACAACAGACAACAGTGATTCCTGAGGCTGATGGTTTTTATACGGACAGGCCACCAGAAGGCATCTGAGATCTCTCAACACATGCGTCCCTCCCAAAGCTGTGCTCTAGGTGGAAGAGGATGACCCTCCCCACTGGAGCAGTGTGGGGGTGCTCCACCCACAGCCCCCCCCCCGGCTGCCACAGATGAGAATAAGTCTACCAAGACATGATCTGCTTAGGGAGGAAAGGTAGCCAATCTCTCAAAGGAGAAGGGCCCAGAGCCTTTTCCTCAATGGGCTTTTATTAGGTTTATTTTGTAGATAAAAACTTATTAATCATTATCAGGAGGTAAGGATCAAGCAAGAGATAACATACAAAGAACTCTGAGGGCCTATTTTGAGTCAGAGTCTGTTAGCTAAGGAGCCATAAAACTTTGAAGAACAAACTCACTTCTAGCTTGGACCTTTTTCATTTAATTGAGAGCTTTCTAAACAAAGCAGGCTTCACAGGATTTTACACATTCTTTCTTAGGCCTGATCACCCAGGGAGTCTGCCCTTTCTATCACAGGGCTGCACCGCCCTCTGTCATTGTTTCAGGCTTAAGTCAGGCAGGGGAAGTAAGGCAGCCAAGAGATTAGGAGACTTCTTTCATACAGAATGAGGACTCAGGCTATGTCAAAGCCAAGGGACAAGGGTCCATTGCCCCCTTTCTCCATAGCCCCCCGGAGTCCTTCCCTTGGGCCTCCACATAATTGTGCCCCTCTTAGGCTGTTCCTCACTTGGGGAATCTTAACCGTCATTGGCTAACTGACCAAGCACTGGGGGCCAGTTATGGATAAAGTAAAAGGAGCAGAAGCGGCACTTCTGCCAGGGAGATAAACTTTGTCTTCTTAGTGGCTTATGGTCCAAAGTTCCCTCACTCAGCCTTAGCCACGGGGGGGGGGGGGGGGGGTTACAGCTTGTGAAACCAGGCAGGGTGGTTCCCAACAGAGCAGAGCACTGTTCTTCAAATAAGTAGCTGTGCTCCCTGCCAGAACATCCATACAAGCTCTCCAGGCCCAGTATAAAACCACAAGAACAGGCCATGAAATCAAAGCGCTGCGCTCTTGTCTCTCACCAACCATGGAGATGATATTCTTGATTCATTCTGCTTTCGGTGATCGCAGTCTTCTGGGGGGTGCTCCTCAGTCCCTCACTGTTTCCTACCAAATGCTGAAACGTATCATGACAGACGTCACCAGTGGGAACATTTCTTGTTTTGAAACAGTTAAAAACAAGAGGATTTTTCATCTATAAGCCAGTTTTCATGTATCTACTCCTGGAGACCAAGGCATAAATGCACATGAATATAAAATAGTCCCTAAAAAACGAGAGATCCTCATAATATCAACAGCTCTCCAAGTCACCACTGCAATGAAGTCTCACCAGAAAAGACAAAAAGACAGAAATAAGCTTGAAACACTGACGTGATTCCTAATGGTCCCTCTCCCAGCCGCGCAGTCACCTCCTCCTTCCCGTTCCCAGAGAAACAAGGGCCAGCTCCGCCCTTCCCTCTGAATCTGCACACAGGACTCCATCTTGCAGGTCAAAAACCCAGCCTCCAAGAATACTATGTTACTTGCAATAAGTGTTTGCCTGGGAGTACTTGCCAGTAACTGCAAATGACCTTGGGGCTCAAGGGGAAAATGAGTCCATCTCTCTCCCTCTCCTGGGTCTGTAACCCCAGCAACCTTTTCAGAGGGTTTTCTGGAAATGCTATTTGGGAAGCAGAACAAAAACTCTGAATCCATAGTAAGGGAGTAAGTCTTCAAAGAAAGGTGAAATCTGGCCAAGCTGTCTGTAGCGCCGTTGCTCTCAGATGACAGACTGCAGGAAGGAAGGGCAAGAAACACTGGAGCTCCGGAGCGGTGGTCCTTGCGGCAGGGGGCGCTTCCTGTGGTCTTGGGGCCAGGAACCCTAGGGTCCTTTGATGGTTGCGCACTAACTCTTAGACTGGGCTTACATTCGCTGGTCGTCAGAAGTTTTGGTCCTGCTGGGGTCGGGGGAGAGTCACAGAATGGCCCACTCTATCCTCTAAGGTCTACAAGTCAGAGTGGTTCAAATTGTCTGAGTTTGGGGAGCTCTGTGGGCTGTACTGCAAGTGGTCTGTTAAGATGTTTCTGTGGCCACTTGGATAGTCCCCCTGCTGGGGGAAGAGGGCACTGCAGGTGGAGCTTCTCCAGGGAACTCCAGTGGTGTTCCTGACTGCTCCTGGCCTCCGTCCTCATGGTGAGAAGGTGCTCACCAAGGAGTGTCCAGGGCCCCCGGACACGTAGGTCAGGTTGCTGCTAACCAAAAAGCCAGCAAGTCCACCAGGAGACTCCATAAAGAAGAGAGGATGGCAACCCAAGATGTTCAGCAGCTGGAGATGGTAGAACTGCAACTCTCTCAATACCTTTATGGAGAAAATATTCCGAAGTGAGAGGCACAGTGTGGCTGCCAGAGTAATATTAAATGACAACTCAGAAACAATGGCCAGCAGGAAGCCTCTGATGTTGAGGTTGAGTGAGAAGCACACCAATACTCGGGCAATGGATGTGGCCTGCAAGTGCCCCAGACTGGCGAGGCAAGGGCCAGGGCCGGGGTGGGGTGCAGGGGGGTGGGGCGGGGCACAAGGTACATGCCAGGCACGGAGCACCGGTGGGAGCCCCGCGCACTGCACCAGGATGTGGCACAGAGGCAGGGTCACTGGGAACATAGAAGGTGCCCATGACCTTGTCGATAATGTTGCTAACCACAATAAGCACTTACCAGAGGAGGCTCAGACCCCTTCACCTGGCGCGCACCAGGCACACGTGGCACTGCCACTTGCACCTGCCGCCATCCAACCTCAGCTGCCACCATCCCCTTTCCAATCCCTTGGATTTTTATTTTTTGCCCCCACAGTGACTTGAACTGTATAGGAGCAAGGTGATGCTTAAGAAATCAAGCAATGGATGGGACTCAGGAATGGTTTATGATCAGTTTTAAAATCCTTATGGATTGTTTTCATCTTTTTTTTTAGTATAAATAATATCTGATTTGTGGGTTTTTTAAAATTTTTATTTGTTTATTTTTAGAAAAAGGGGAAGAGAGGGAGAAGAAGAGGGAGAGAAGCATCAATGCGTGGTTGCTTCTTGTGTGCCCTCTCTTGGGACCTGGCAGGGAACCCAGGCATGTGCCCTGAATGGGAATCGAACCAGTGACCCTTTGGTTTACAGACCCGCCAGGGCTGATTTATACTTAGATAACACATTTCTTTTTTTCTAATTGTTGTTCAGCTAGAGTTCACCCCATTTGTACCCCCCTTGCTCTCCCCTGCCTTGACCGACCCCGGCTCTCACATTCCCCACCCATCGTCCATGTTTCTGGGTCCTTTGTACATGTTCCTTGACTTGACCCTTCCCCTTCTTTCCCCATACCTCTTTCCTATGATCCCTGCCAGTTTGCTCTTTATTTCCATGTCTCTGGTTCTTTTTTTGCTTGTTTCTTCTTATTAGGGTTCACTTATAGGTGAGATCATATGGTATTTGTCTTTCACTGCCTGGCTTATTTCACTTAGCATAATACTCTCCAGTTCCATCCATGCTGTTTTCATTTTTTTTACACGTCATGAAGTTGGTTCTTTCAAATGAGCTTTTCCCAGATGACAGAAGTATATAACTGTAGAGCACTCCTGTGCTGAGACTAGCTCTTTGTGTTTCAGAATTTTTAAATCTCAGTCTCTAAGTCAGTAACACAATTTAGGCAAAGTACTTTCCCTTCTGCCAATCATTGGGTGTCCAGGGAGGTGGAATTTGTAAGATGGTAGCAGCTCCATTGTGAATATAATACTAATGAACAGGGCTGTCTCCCCCAAAGAACAGAAGTACAGAGACCTCCTTTCTCTCAACCATATCCATCACTGCAAAATGCTTTTGGGAAGAGGAAAAGAGAAGCTTCTATTTTTGAAATAGAAGCCAGTGGCATTTGAAACCATGCCAAGTACTCTGTAAGGTACTTTCTACAAGTCATTTCAAATTCTCCCAATATTCCTGTGACACAGAAAATACTATCTCACAGTTCTCAGTGAAATAACAGGCTCACAAATGTTTAGTAAACATCACAGGGGTCTAGAACTTCTAATGCTTGCTTTTTACTATTTGTACTGTTTCCTTTATTTACAAAACTGGAAAATATAAAATAATTTTCATGTACTCTGCAATAAGCACACACTGAAGATAGTGAAAAATAACCAGAGATCGACCCAACTGGCAATAGTATTCTTTATTATTAATTTTTCTTTTTGAAGGAGAAGCATGCTTGTTTACGGCACCTATAAACAAGTCATTGAGTTTTGCCTTTCTGGTAAAATATATAAAAATTTTCCCACCCACCTTGAATTGTTAGCATACCACAACACCAACTATATTATGTTGTAATTACAGAAGACAGGTCAGGTGAAAACAAAGGTAAATTTTTATAGCTAAAAATATCCATAGCAGCAACTTTCAAAAGATGATTCTTGGTCATTTTATTGCTATAGCAAAATAAGGCCATTAAGTTTGTGACACCTCTTATTTCTGGTTTTAACTGATTGTCTCATTCTGTTCATACATTTGGAATTTAAATGAAAGCAGAACAATGTTTAGTGACAAATCCAGACAACACTCTTTTGTTTTGTTTTTTTTCCTATGATCACAGTAAGAACCACACACAAAAAAGAACCATCTATTATTCCTGGCCCACTTTCTCTTCCTATCTTCAGCCTTAACTTTTCTAAAGACATTTCAGAATTAAATTTTGTACAGAAGCTTTGTGGTCACACACCCACACACACACCACCAACACTGAAATACAATTAGGAAAATTAGTAATGCTGTGTGCTTCAAAAATAACAATGCTGAACAATACATTCACAAATAATTTAGCAATGACTGATTCTGTGCTATTCACCTCTGGTCTGCCATTTATGCTTACTCATAACAAATAATAAAGATTTGACCCCAAATTAAAGGCTATTATTACACAACAATCTGTGTTATAAATTTTATGAACAGGAAGTAATAAAAATCCCCATATCCAGAACAACTGTTAAAATACTAGATTAAAGTAATCAGTTTTCCCTTTGAATATGAGCTTTTTTGGTTTTCTTTACTTTTTGGTCAAAGGCAGAAAAATTGAGACAGTACTTTAATGGCTTTTCTGTTCTGACTGAGGGAGTTCATAAGCAAATACTTTAAATGCACTTCTGGACTCATGACCTTTTGATTTCATGTGCTAGTGAGAGAATGACCTGCAAGAACTTTAAGAACAGCCCAAAATCTTCTGGAAACTTCCCCCTCCTCATACTAGGGGAGGAGGAGTCACTTAACAGATTTTCCCAGGCAGAAAGCTGGAGGATGATTTCTAGGATACACTGTTTATGTTTATACTTCAGGACTTTCATTAAAAGATAATACTATGTTGCTGTTAATAAAATAAATTTTAACCTCCAAAGAAACCAGAGCCAAAGACTGATTCTTTATTTTATAATAATATTTAAGCCATTGGAATACAACATAGACTTCAGTCAGATAGTATTTGAGCTATATATTCAAGTAGTATACATACAAAAGAAATTAAGCAAAAGAATATTCAAGCAAAGATATAACATTACTAACTCAACAATTTTTAAAATCAAGAAAGCGCTACCAAAAACAATTATATTATTGCTTTACATACATACAATTTTTATACATCTTTTTTGAACCTGTGCTATGTACAGGTACAGTGATGAATACATTGTATGTATTGATGTATGTGAATGTATATGCATGTTTCTCTGGAGATCTGAGGGAGAAAGAGGTTAGAGAGAACTAATTAGGTTTGCATGTAAACCCCAACTCAGGAAGTAAAGTAGGTGGAGCTTCCTTGAAGTCTTTTTTTTTAAGTACAAGTGTTGATACTTTATTGTTTTTATTTTATTTTATTATTATGCAGGGTAAATTTTATTCAATTGAAATGATTGTCTTTTATCCTGAATCTATGTCCTCCCCATTTTTGTGATATTAGACTCCTCTTTTTCTTTTAAGATGAAATGACAACAGTTGGCAGTTTTTCCTTTTTTGATGTCCTTTCTTGATGAGATAGAAACATTGGCAACTAAGGCTAGTCTTTCTATACATAATTCTTATATACATCATTATTTCATTGGCTCCAGTTTTATAACTACATTTAAGAAACTGACATGTTTAGAAAGTGTTGATTCTATGTAATTCTACCTCCATGGGGAAAAATCACATGAACATACATCAAACGTTCACCTTGTACCTACCCACTGGCCAAGATTAGTCTCGACCATCTGTTTTATGAGTCATAGTTCCTCAACTAAACCATCAATGAATATCAAGAGACAACAACAGATTATGTTAAGACATTTTTACACTAAACACTTGGGGCTCAGCATCTTCCATTCCTGTCCGTACTCTTGCTGGATGCTTTATGTTTGTTTAAATTTGAGTTTATTGCAGATAAAGAGACAGGAAGTTGAGGTAGAGGAATGGTATTAGGGGTCAGGTTCCAACCGGTTGTGGCCGCTAAGCTCATAGAAATAATTGTCATGTTCTCTCCATTTAGGGACCTTGAAAGAAAACAAGATTAAATGCACTTTGTATTTTCTTTTACTGGGCTGGTCAGAGCTTAGTACCAAAACAAAAGCATTTTCTGTAATTATTATCCACGCTTAGAAGGAACAAGGTATAAAAATTGCTTGAGTTGGGGAAAAAGAAAAGAACAGAAATGTTCATCACTCCCACCATGACTACATTCTTTCTTCCCTGGACCATTCTCCTGAAAACCTCATTGAACACACCCAAGCATCTCACACTCATGGAACAAAGAGGTAGAAAATGGAGGACAGAGAGAGGCTCACGTTCTGTTATTCTCAGAGCCTCTTCTGTACTCACCGAGTTTCTTCTACCTTCCACGTTCCACCAGTTTTTGCCTATTACAGTATAAAATCTCATGCCCAGGGTCCCTATTATTTTTATGAGTGGATTTTTAAATAATTCTCAGAGGAGAGAAAGGGCAGTTACTTCAGTCTTTTCTTCATCTAATATCTACCTCGAAAAATACCATACCTTCTGATTTTGTCTGTATGGACATATTGTCTTAATGTTTCTCTATAAATAATGATTTCATCCAATTTCATCACATGAATACACACACATGCACATCTAGGCTTAAGGTGAGCAAAGCTTTCACTAGTGGAATCATCGTTTACATCCTTATTTAGAACACTGCACAGTACCTCCCAAAAAACAGAATCATCATAGCAGTTCTGGTCAGGTGGCTGTCCCCAGATGGGAAACTTGAGAATTAAGCCTGTTAATGTGGGGAGAAAACAAGTCATGTTATGATGCTAAAGAGGAAAACTTACTTGTGTAAGTAATTAAAGACTTTCTTTTTAAAAATACTTTCAATTAAAGACTACTGTTATAAAAGCATCCCCTTGAGTTTACACAATTATTGTCAGATTACCACATTTTCCAATTTACCAATCAAAGTTTGTGAATAATTTATAATGCTAAAAACATGTGTACAGGGGAATGTTTACTTTTATGCTGACCTGTGATCAGCCCTCCAACAGCTGCTGTTCCAATGGAAGAACCTAGAGCCGCTGCTTGCATGGCAGGGGTAGACCTAAGAAGCCAAAAGAAAAGAATCTTGTTTTTGTAGCAAGACATCAGCAAGCAAATCTCATCTCCCCTGAGGGCGTGCATGCCTGCCATCTTCAGGCCAGAGCCCAGCATTACACATCAGTGCACAAATATTTGTTACACATTTTATTTTTTATCACGTAGTTATTTTCTTTGAAATTCTTAACATAAAAAATTCATATAGGCACTTAAACTAGAACTACCCTTTTCTTCAGAATGATGAAAAGATTTTCCTTAGAAAGGGTTTGGTATTTTGTAAAAATGTGCCAGGTTTGATCCATGATCTGGTTCATTCAACAAATATTTATCGAGCACTCATCCATCCCAGTTTCTCTTCTAGGCACGGAGGACAGAGTAATATTCAAAACAAACATGAGTTTCTATCTGTCTTCCCCCCATCCCAAAAGGAACTATAATGAAATTCAAAAGTCAGTAAGGTCAGAAAAGCTCATTTTAGCATATATTGCAGAGACAGTTCACTGAAGACACTAAAGTATATTGCTACATGTTATCTTAGAAGTAGTCACCTTAAAATGAAATGAATAAAAAATACTTAAATTTTGGGGATGGAAGAATCTAATAAAAAGTTATTGAAGCCTTGGCTGGTGTAGCTCAGTGGATTGAGCACGGGCTTGTGAACCAGAGGATCGCGGTGCAATTCCCAGTCAGGGCACATGCCTGGGCTGCAGGCCAGTTCCCAGCAGGGGACACATGAGAGGCAAACATACATTGATGTTTCTCTCCCTCTCTCCTTCCCTTCCCCTCTAAAGATAAATAAATAAAATCCTTTAAAAAAGTTATTGAAATGCATGAGTGTGTCACATGAGTGGCAAATGCACTAGAAATGCAGGAGTCTCCTTAGCATGCATCACTCTTAGCAGACAGTAATCAGCTGTTGAGAGACCAAAGGTGTGATTACAGAAAAAGAAACAATTGGAAACATGAGTGTGTTGGTGTTTCATCCTCATCACTCAAGGGAAAGAATGCACTAAATTCAGATTTCTTTTTTTCCCTTTATTTAAAAGGTTTAAAATTTTCTACTACGTAAAAAATGATAGAAGATGTAATCATTGTGAAAATTTTAGAAACCACTAATATAAAAAAAGAAAACATTTAATTTCCCTCAAAGCCTATCAGTGTAAAATCTAAAATATAAGACACGTACTTTATAACAATGAAACCATGTTATAATACAATGTTCCCATTAATTTTTGATGTCTTTTTTTGTCAATACATGCAGATTTGCATCATAATATTCATTGCTACAGAGCACTACTCTATATAAATGTACTATAATCATCCCACTACCTGTTGGATATTTAAGCTGCTTCCAATGCTGTATATATTTTTTAATGATTGTGAGAATATATTCTCATGAACATTGTAAACTTCCCCAATAATTTCTCTAAGATGAAACCTATCTAGAAATGAGATTACTGGTGAAAGGTAATAAACCACGAAGGGTTATTCCAAATTGAAAATGTACAATCTATATCCCCATTTCTCTATTTTACCTACCATTTGATATTATTATTTATTTAATCTTTATCAATTTAATAACTGAAGAATTGACAACTTGCTTTTATTTGTATTTCTTTGATTACTAGTGAGGTTTAATATTTAGTATACACATATTTGCTTGATTTTTTTCTGATGTAAACTTACTGTTAATTTCACCAGAATTTACTAAGATCTTTTATAAGGTATTAAAATATGTTTTTTGATCAGAAGTGGTCCATGATGACATAGGCTTGAAAAACACTTGTTTAAACAAAATCAACAACATTTTTAAAGTTAGGCTGCATTATTTGAAAAAAAATGTCCCTTAAGAATATTAATTTCTCATTACCCTGTGCTTACCGACCTGACTTACATTTGAGAATTCTGAATAGACATGCTTGAGTTAATAGTCTTTGCCGTTGGACTCGGTGTATTACGTGGTGCATGGAATGTGTGAACTTTACCCAGTTGGATGGGCCTTCTGAGACCCTTCCCTACTCCATTTCCCCCTTAGTAAACCGAGAAGTTTTTACTAAACCTACACCCAAGGACAAGACCGTGAAACCTGTCCCAAGTGTGGCTGCCCAGTCAGACCAAGCCTGAAAGCCAAATAGACTCGTTTTATTGTATCTGTGGAACTGAGCAAGAATTATATTCCTAATCAATGGGCACCTCTTTAGAGTGTTTGCAGTGTTTATATACCATAATGACACTTAGGAGCTAAGCTCATTGACACGTGTTTTTATCACACATGATTTGCATGAAAACACTAGTGTTTGGTCTTAACCTGTTAGGGGCTGGAAAGAACTGAAAGAAAATGTGACTATTTCTGGAGCTGTCTTCCAAATTTGCAAAAAGAGTAAAAAAATAAAACATGGAGAGAAAAAAAAGGTCAACTATATTCAAGAAGGAAGCAAACTTTTTATTTAGTAGAAAATATGATCAAGCAAGTTTCTCAAATACGTATCATTACTGGTTTTAATAGAGTTAAATTTTAATTAGCTAAAATTGAAAAGATTTTTCTTTCGAATTATGCCTCTAGCTGGAGGCATAAGAAATGTCTCCAGCTAGAGGCATTTTCAAATACGCATTCACCTTTTCTTCATGCTTTTGATCAGTTTTAGAAATTGAGCATTTTGCTTCCTTCTCACTTCCTATGATCTTCCGAGCTGTTTTGCATGGATGACACCCTTATCAAATTGCTTCAATCTTGTTGCCTAAAAGGGACAACGGATGGCTTATGACATCACTTCCATTTTCCTGGATTTGACTGACAGCCATTCTTCCTCTGGACATTTAAATACTATTTACGACCCCTTCAGAAAGAATCTAAGTCTGCTAGGGATTTTAAAGAATACATAGTACCATTGTCCCATTTTACAAAAGAGGAAACATAACCAGAGAGGTCGAGTGACTTGTCAGCGGCCACCTAACTAGTTAGTAGTAAAATTGAAGCAAATGCCAGTCTTTCTCATCCTCCAGATCCAAGTGCTTTCCACGGTACAGTAACTTCTTCTTTGTGTGGATTGGATGAAAACGACCGCTCAGCTCCTTACATATGCCCTATATGCTCCACTTTGTGGGGATCAAGTAAAAGAGTAAGCCTACTGTAATCTGATTGTGATTATCAAATTGTCCTATTTGCTCAGAGACAGGTACCTATGGTAGAGAAATTTAACACTGCTACTTTACACACACACAAAAAAAAACTAATAATATTAGTTAAGATGCATTTTCCAATTAGTTCTATTCTCTTCATTAAGAACAATACTTACAAACTTTGGTCTGGATTGCTAAAGAGAAAGATCTCTCATCACTGGATTCACAGAGTGAGAGAAAATATTATTAGATGGGGTGGCGGAGGCAGAAGAACCCGTTCTTTCACTCACACGTCAGATGCTCCCAAGGCCGCTGCCGCAATGCCCGCAAGGCCTCCTATCACACCAGGTAAACCATGCAGGTTATGAACCCCACATGTGTCTTGGATCCTCAGTTCACTAGCAAAAATTGGCTGAAAGTGTACAAAAAGGAAAGTTCATTACTTCGTTAGTTATACAGGACTCTATAATTGAAGTAAAAGATCATGCAGGAAACACTTCATCTACGTTCCACGTTTCCACATCTAAAAGCACATAAAGTCAAAGAACCTGAATACATTGGTGGCAAAATTGTTCTTTTTAGTCTTTAGTAGATGGTTTTGAAAACAAATTACTTCAATTCCTAGTCCTTACCTACTGAAGAAATCCCACATCCCCTTAAAAGGGCACAGAGTTTTTAACTATACAAAGCAAACAAACATCAACAAAACCTTTAATGGAACTGCTTCAAGGAAAGAAACACAGTACTTAACATTCAATCACACCAGGTTACAAACAGCTGATACGGGATACTTTCCTGCCACCCAGAAGAAGTCAGGAAAGGGCAGAAACATCACACACTGAAATGTGATCGTACTTTTGAAGGCAAACGATCCCCAAATAAAGAGAAATGTTTAAGAAAGGCACTTTCACAGCTTTTCTCTTCTGGTGGGATGTGAGAAGATGATGGCTCACTCCTAAGAGTGACTCAGCATCTGTCATGCTTACCGTCAGAAACTCAAATCCAATCACGCAGACCATTCCGGCAACGCTCCCAATGATCATAGCGATGCACGGGTGGATCTCCATGGCCGCACAGGTGCCCACGGCAACTCCCCCAGCGAGGCTGGCATTCTGAATGTGTTCCTGTGTGGGGCACAGAAACGGGGGGAAGTGCACTGAACAGGCAGAGGCCAGAAGGACTGAAAGAATTCAGGATTCATGGGCCCCGTGGTACATTCTTCATTTCAAAGGGCTACTAATGCTCTTCAAAAAGGGTGTCCTTTGTAATTACAGAAAGCCTTTCTCCCAAGCAGGTGAGCTATGCTATCTTTCTTCTTGTCAGGGTTTCTTGGTGGTGTAGGAGTGATCAGGCCAGCGAGGGGAGGGATGTGTGGAAATAGAAGAAGTTGCAGTGGAAGGGCGGGAGTGTGCAGATCAGTCTCTCTGGCAGTGTTTTGCCCGTTGATGCTGCTCGGGAGCACATTTGTGGGAATGTGGAGACATTGAAACGCGCACAGGAAAGCTGACACCTTGCACGAGTGTCACTACACTGAGAACACTGGAGGCTGGAAGAGAGAGTCATCAGTTTGCATTTCCCAGAATTCCTCAGAAAAATCATATTCTGGCTGCCCTGGCTGAGGAGGAAAGGTCATCAAAACTATTAAGGGAGAACCACTGAGTTGTATGCATGGTTTTTCTTTTTCATTTTTTTCAGTTTTCCTTCATGAATCAGTTTGTCTACAGTTGAAATGCATGTCTCCATCTATGCCTGATGAAATGATGGCATTTCTTTCCTTGCTGAGGTTGGAAGAAAGAGCAGCTGCTCCAAGAATGCCTCCTCCACTGCCGTTGCTCTGGCTCACAGGCCAGGAACCCAAATGACCACATTGGGGGATCAAAAGTTGTTTTATTTTGGAATAACTTTAGACTATGTAAAAATTGCAAAAGTACTGCGGGGAGTTTCCATATATCTCGCACTCAGTCTCCCCAGTGCTAACATCCTACATAATCAGAGCACTAGAAAATTAGCACTGATTCAATACTCTTAAAGGCCTTCTTAGCATTTCACTCATTTTCCCAGTAGTGTTCTATTTTTTTCTTGGTATGTTCTTCAGGATGTCACATTACATTTAATTTTTATGTCTTTGAAAGGAATAGTTGTACTTAAAAAATAGAACCAACTTTCATTCTCTATTTTTTCTATTTTTGACATGTCCTACTTCAGTTTTCTAAGAACTTGGAGACAGCTTTATTATTAAAGAAAAGTGTCTTATACCCTTGCTTTTTGCATGATTATATTCCTTACTAGACAGTTTCTGGATAGCACTTTGTGATTTTCCAGGATGCAAACTGGAAGAAGAAAGGAAGGAATAGTAGTGTTTTCTTCAAAATGTCCCTTAAGGCCTGCAGTGCCGTCATCTGTTCTGGCATCTCAGCAGGGCTGCAGAAGTGAGCTACAGCCCTGAGCAGCCTTCCTTGTTGCTCAGTGAGACTTCCGTGGGGTAAGGGAGAGCACTGTGCCACCCCAAAATATGTCTTATTTGGGGATATTGATTATTTAAGTTGGCTCACTTTCAGAAACAAAAGGCTCAGGAAGAACCTTTGATCTTCCTTCCAACTACCTAAAGAATTTAGATAGAGAATCTGCTCCAGGAAGAAAACCATGACCATAGATAACTACATTTGAATATGAATGAGCTGTTGTGGACAGAGAGAAACCTAGCAAGTCCCTTTTGATCAAAGTCCTTTCTGTGTCTTGTTGTTAAAGATGACCCGACAGACATTTGTTTACCAAACATTTGATTCTCCAGCACCATGTCAATTGCTTTCTCCCCCTTTGAAGTCCAAACCACCACCCCTGTCTGCCTTAGTTCAAGATGCCATGTAAGCCTCAACTCTCCCATTCACCCTCAGGTCCCATATTTTTATAGATCCCTGTGTGTGCATGCACAATCCAATTTCATTATTTCTCCCTGTTATTATGTCTTACGTAGACTTAATTCTTAGGTCAGCCAGAAGAACTAAGAGGGGAAAGAAGAAAAAGTTTCCCCTCCCCCTCCGGGGTTACTACATCCTTACCATGTCCAGCTTGCCTCGGTGGTTCACGAGGCTGGAGAAGGCATAGGCTGTGAGTACGGAGGCAGCAAGGGAGAAGTATGTGTTGACGATGGTCTTGTACTGCTTTTCTCCAACATCAGCAAAGACTGAATTAAAGCTGGGCCAAAATATCCATAAGAAAAGAGTACCTGCAGTAAATCACAAAAATGGATATTAGTTCTTAATATGAAAGACACAGGAGAGACAGTTTGTCTCGGGCACTGACAGTGTTCCTGCTTGTAGGTTCAGTTATCTGAGAGGGGGAAAGCCAGCAGAAACAAAAGAAACAACAGCATTAGATTGGCAAAAAAAATTCATTTGGATTTTTTTCATAATATGGCTGTAGTAGTGCTTAGTTGTCTTTAACTTCATTCAAAATAATTTTTAGATTGTATTGGGGAAACTGTCCTATCACCATGTATTAAAAAATTATTAAAATTGGTGAATATTGGAGGTGGAATAAAATACACAATACTTTAAGCATATTATGCTTTATTATTTCAAGAAAGGTAAAAATGCAACTGAAATGAAAAAAGGATTTGTGTAGGGTATGGAGAAGATTCTGTGACTGATGTAATGTGTCAAAAGCAGTTTGCAAGGTTTTGTGTTGGAGATTTCTCACTGGATGATGCTCCATGGTCTGGTATACCAGTAGAAGTTGATAGCAATCAAATCAAGACATTAATTGAAAACAACCAACATTATACCATGTGGGAGATAGCTGACATACTCAAAATACCCAAATTATTCATTGCAAATCACTTGCATCAGTTTGGTTATGTTAATCACTTTGATGTTTGGGTTCCATATAAGTTAAGTTAAAAAAAATTCTTGACCATATTTCCACATGTGATTCTCACCTAAGTGTAAAAAAAGAATGTCCCATTTTAAAAACAAATAGTGATGGGTGATGAAAAGTGGGTACTTTACAATAACATGGAACAAAAGAGATTGCAGAGCAAGCAAAATGAACCACCACCAACCACACCAAAGATCAGACTTCATCCAAAGAGGTTTATATGTTGGGATTGGAGGGGAGTCCTCTATTCTGAGCTCCTTCCAGAAAACCAAGTGGTTATTCCAATAAGTACTGCTCCCAAATAGACCAAATGAAGGCAGCACTCAAAATTACTCAACAGAAAACACAATCTTTCATCAGGATAATGCAAGACCACATTTCTTTGATGACCAGGCAAAAACTGTCATAGCTTGGCTAGGAAGTTCCGATTCATTCACTGTGTTCATCAGACATTGCACTTTCAGATTTCCATTTATTTCAGTCTTTACAAAATTCTTTTAATGGAAAACATTTCAATTTCCTGGAAGACTGTAAAAGGCATCAGGGACTGTTCTTTGCTCCAAAAAATGAACAGTTTGGGGAAGAAGGAATTATAAAGTTGCCTGAAAGATGACAGAAGGTAGTGGAACAAAATGGTGAATACGTTGTTCAATAAAGTTGCTGGTGAAAATGAAAAAATACGTTTTTTATTTTTACTTAAAAAAATGAAAAAACTTATTGGCCATCTCAGTATTATTCAGATGTTGTTCCTTAAAGATTTTGACTGCTCTGTTGGAGTTAACCTTCACTTGTGCCTGACCAAACAGATAAGAATTGGACCAGTTTCATCCCTACTCACCAATCATTGAAAACAACTCCGAGAGGTACACAGAGTCCTTGTTGTCATGACCCCTTCTCAGGCCTGGCCGATACAGCACACCCGTTACAGCCAAGCCAAAGTAGGCCCCGAAGGCATGAATCGTCATGGACGCTCCAATGTCAGAGGCCTGATGGGGCAAAACATTCATGTAAAAGAGCTGAAACTGAATCTCACTACAGGAGGAAAGTCAGTAAAAGGAATGCTTTATTGGTTTAGCAATTTAAAAAAGTAGATCAAGAGAGAAAGAATGTGTCAGACAAAGGGGGATAAAAGATAGGCACACAGATGGACTTTTAATCCCAGGTCAGGTACTTTCTTGTGATGCGACTTTATACAAATTACTATGCTTCTCTGAATCTCAGGTTCTATAAAATTGGAAATTATTACCCAGCTAGCGTAACTGAAACCACATGTGTAAAGTCTAGGTCCTTCGTGGGCACTCAGTACACTGTGGGTTACATCTCCAGGTTGGGGAGATTCTCTGTGAAATGCTGTTCTTGCACTTGATAAAACACAAAGATGATTTTTGCATTTACTTGGCATTGTAGGCAAAGTTTACTTAATTACAGCTGAAAGATGTGAAGCTTCAAAAAGCCTTTATCTTCCCCATATTTTTTCCACTCTGCTATATGATAGCATGAAAACCAGCCTGAGGTCCAAGATTTATTTGAAGAAATATGTTTTAGGTCCCTCTTTAGCACACCATATGGATTTGACCCTATTAGCTACACTTCCTGCCTTTAGAGGGAAAGTTCAGAGTGCCAAACCCAAGGCATTGCTCTGTCCATATTAAGGTAGGAAAATTATACAACTTTGTTGATTTATTTAAGATTTTCATACTCAATAAACTCCTATGTACCTTTCAGGTTCAGCTTAACTGTTATCTCCTCAGGAAGACCTTCTTGGTTTTCACAATCTAAATTAGGTCTTCTACTTACATTTTCTCATAGCCCCCTCTGCTAATTTTTCACGGTATGTATTATAATTTATACGTATATTTGTGTGGGTGGGTGGGGAAATGTGTGATTATTTGTTTGATGTCTGTCTCCCCCACTAGATTGTCAATTTGATAATAGCAGGGACCATAGTTATTTTGTTTGTTATTGAATCATCAATGCATGACACCTAGAAAGTTTTCAAAATAATTGCTGTTGGATTAAATGTTCAATAGAAGCACATACAACATATTGGAAAGTGCCTAAAATGTTTTATTTATAATTCTTGGGGTATTCAATGAGATTTTCACAGAGAAAAAATTTGACTAAATCTTTGATAAAAGCCTTAGGAAAGGCTATTCACCTAGGAGTTGAAGTCAAAATAGGAATTGATTATTGATAGGAAATAAAATGTAATAAAATGAGTTCTGGAGTTAGAAAAATCTGGGTTTGAATCCAGATTCCAGCAAATCATTCAGCATCTATGGTCATCAGGGTTTTTTTGTTTTGTTTTGTTTTGTTTTGTTTTGTTTGATATAAATAGTAACAACAATAACACCTACCTTACAACATTATTGTGATAATGAAATGAAATAATGTTTATAAACCTTCTGGTTTATATTAGGCACTCAATTAAATGGGGACTATTATTACTATTTGCTGTGGTATCACTCCTGTTACAGTTGTCCCTGCCTAAGGGCTTCCATATGTGTTGTGACCACAACTGATGTCCATAGTTAGGTATGTATAAGTATTCTAACACTTACCATAAACACCTCAGAAATCAGATATTCATTGCCAGCAAAGACAGTAATTTCTATGATTGTCATGATCAGCATTTGGACTGGACTTATTTTTCCTAGGACAGCTCCAAAAGAAATCATAACTGTGGCTGTACCGAAGTCTGCATTTATCATGCTGAGAGTAAAATGAAGAATACATTAAGGAAAATGCAAACCCAAAACAAAACCATGACTTGTAATAAACCATAGCATCTCCTTACCCAGAATACAAGCCCTTTACCCCTGACATCCCCCAATCAATCACCTGTCTCAGGCCTGTTTTTGTCTGCTCTCACTTCCTTACCCCTCCATTCATTATATGCTCTTTAGTTGCTCTAACATTTCCTTCAAAAATAATCTTGGAAAAATGACTAGTGATATATTCATAACTGAGATGGAAAAATAATACTTTTATGCAAGGAGATTCCTTATATTCTAAAATCAGACCAGAGATGACACAGGCATTCAGGTATGATCCAGCTCAGCAGAGCAAGGCATGGACTTGCATCCTTGGATCCCAGCAACTTTCTGTTGCTTATGGGAGACAATTTGCCAGCTAGTTCAGAGGCTGACTGACAAAAGATGAAGCAGAGAATAGTTGCTCTGAAAACACAATAGTTGAAAAGTAAGGGATGCTCACTTTTTTATTCCAATGTGAATGTTCTGTCCATGGCTGTGCAGGATCCCCTGTACCAGAGTGCCCCATTGGAGGCCCAGGGCAGCAATCAACAGGTGGATGCCCACACTACTGAAGCCATATTTCTTCAGGAAGGTCATGAAGAAGCCAAACCCAAGGAATATCATAACATGCACATCTTGAAATACTGCAAAGGAGCGAAGGGGAAAATATCTGCATTTAGGGAGAGCTAAGAGAGTATTGTATCAGAGTATAGCCCATTTATTAACTGCTACAGCCTTTTCATAGGACACTGCAAAGGCATAGCATTAACTGGACATTGAAAGGTTGGGTTCCAATGCCAGCCTGGCTACAGACCTGCTACAAGATTGTAGGCAAGTTATTCAACATTCAAACCTTTTCTTTGAACACTATGTGCTATCATACCAGTGTGTCTGTCATTCTCTCCCTGTGAGTTGCCCTTTACTTTCCACTTGAGGAAATCTTTACAAATCATAGTGCAAGCTTCACATCCTCTTGCAGACTTTCATAATGTTTCAGGGAAAAGTAATATTTTCTCTGGTCTTTCACAGAGCTTTCTGTATATACCTGAGCTTTAGCACCTGTCACATTTTACTGGCATTGGTTTAGCACGCATCACATTGTAGTAGTCTACGAGGTGTCCATCTTCTGCACTAGGTAGTGAGTTTCCTTGTTGAAGAGATTTGGACACATTCATGCATTGCTCAGCAGAATTCAGCATAAATTCTGCATATGATAAAAGAGGCAATAATGGCTAAATGAACGATCTACAGTCTCCATTTATCAAATGTGTGTGAATAACAGTACCAGTCCTGGAAATCTTACCCAATCATTATTCAAGTCAAATGGGACAATGTCTTTGTTCTAAACCAGTGTAAAGAAGGCTGTATCATTTCAGGGAGCAAATACTTGACTTGGTGTCTGGAGACAAAGGCTCAGGTCTCCCTATTGTACCACAGATTTTGTGACCTCGGGCAAGTCACTTATTTTCTGTGTGCTTCAGTGTTCTCATATGCAAAACTGAAAAGACCCTCTTTCGCAGAGTGATTCTGAGTGAGCTAGCCCTCTGAGGGAAGGAGTATCAGCAATGCTTTGTATAAATAAAATACATTACCAAATGGGAGACTATGAAAACAAAGGCCTTTTCTTCAAGAAATTTACAGCTTAATTGGTGAGACGTATATCTGAGAACTATATGAAACTAATATTTTTGCATTGAAGTTGCCAAGGAAAATGGTTCAAATATTGGCAGTTTCTTACATTTCAACCTAATAGATACACTAAGGAAATTGAGACCAACATTGATACAACTATGTTATCGAACATGGAATCTATATTTAAATTTCTCTAGCTGCTCCCAGATTTTCCTTTTATAGGATTTTTTGACACATTATTTATTCAAATTTCATACATTTCCTTTGTGAAGTATCTTTAGACTTTAATTTAGAGCAAGTTCTCTCACATGTTTTTTAGGGGTCATGGTATTTTACTGTTTATGTAGAATGTCCCACAATTTGCATTTGTTTAATTGTTTTACCATAATTAGGATTTGACAGAATATTTTGGCAAGAATGTTATACAAGTGGCGCTGTGTACTTCCCACTTATTCATGCCAGGTGACACATGATTCTTTTGTCCTGTTACTGGTGATGGTAAATTTGATCACTTGGTGAAGACTGCATGAATAAAGGACACATGGACAAAACCAAGGGGTGGTAGGATCAAGGCTGGGAAGTGGGGATGACTGTGGTGGGGGGAAAATGGAGACAACTGTACTTGAACAGCAATAAAAAATGTGAAAAAATTTTCAAAAGAAAGATTGTTCTGCCAGATCTTTCCTTATAAATGCAATTTCTGCCCTGTAAGAAATAAGTAATCTCTGAAGTGATTCTGTAACCATGCAGACTGGGGCTTGGCCACTTGGTGTCTTTACACATGATCCAACAATGAGTCCTGAAAGAAACAGGTTTTTATTAATAAGGTTCCAACCTTGGGGAGACGGAGTGCATTCCTGCCCAGAGCCCTCCTCTCCCACAAAACCCGGAACGTCCCTTGCTCCCTAAAAAACTACAGGCCAAAACCATGCCCACAAGTTCCCCACATCTTTATCTGTCCATCAGCCAGTCACGCAAACAAGTCTCCATCCTCTCTGGAATGTGTCCTGTGGGTTTCAGAGTCCCATCCTCTGCAGCAGCTCCCTGCTTCAGGATCAGGGGTGTGCTGTTCTCAGCCTCTATGCAGTGACTCAGGAAGCCATGTGCTATTTTACATTGTCTCAGAGGCTGGAGCCCAGTGAGGCACACATCCCTGCATCCAGCCTCCAGAGTGGGTTCCCATCTTCTGCAGGGTCTAAGCACCAGGTGGGCACTGCATTTCCTGGCCCTGCAAGTGTTCCCATCCATGGAGGGAGCAGGGCCAAAAGCCCAGAGTGAGATAGAGCTTATACCAAGCTCTAATGTGCTGTATGAAAAGTCCCATACCAAAAGAGTGATGTCTCCAAACACTCGTCAAAGAATCAGAAGTCTGCAGCTCAGGATTCCCAGTCTCAGCTCAGCTCCACACATGTTTCATGAGCCTGGGTGCTTTGCCTGGCAGGTCCCTGCAGCTCCATGGGCTCTCCCGCCATCTTCTCCAGGCAGACCTCCCCTCCTCGTGGCTCCCTTACTCATGGGCAGACCTCCTCTGACCTCTTGTCTCTCTCACTGGCCTTCAGCCTGCCCTAATTTAAATGCTCAGCTTGGAACTTCCTATGTGACCTTATACTTGGCTCTTCCTATAGTGTATTAGTGTCCACCATTTCATTAGCTCCATGGTGCCTTTGACCATTTTTTCATCTGCCATCTTTAGTCAGGGCAAAAGTACCCAGTGGTGATGCATGGGAATCCAGGGAGGGCATCTGCCCCCACCCCTACCTGTGGAGTCAATGTCTATTCTCACAGTCACTATAAGACAGGCATGGGAGGAAGTCTCACCTTCCTTACAGAAAGATGAGACTGTTAACTTGCCATTGTGATGCGATGGGTCTTCAGTTCTGTGCTTCCCACTCTGTGGCCCCCCTCCTTCTATCCATCCCTCTTGAAGGCAAGATTGTGGGAAGTGGTCCCCCTACTTTCAGGGGACCCCTGCTCTGTACTCCATTACTTTCTTTCAGACCGTGTGTTCTTCAATAACTTTCCAACTAATACTTTTAGCATCCATTAATAAACCGTGCCGGAATCAGTTATTACATTTTTTATTTGAAATGATAATTTTCTCTATTACTTATTTTATGTGAATTAGTTGGCATTTTTCTGTAAAGAAGAGCTTCCTCCTATTCCCAGTGCTTCCCTTTAAGGAACATTTCTATGAGTGCACTGACTCCTTTTGTTGTTTATTTTAATATGTCATAATCTGTTACCATTACTTCATTATTATTTTTAATGCTCTGTTATTTTCTGAATTTGTTTAGTTGGTGCTCATTCAAGCAGGATCTTGTGTTCTTCTGACATCTCCCCATCCCGCCAGCTTTTATGCACTTGGCTTACCTTGTACTTTCTTTGCCCTGACCCGGAACCAACTATTTCTCCAATGAGCCCCTAGGTGGGGAATGGGATTCAGAAACCAAGATTTGGGTTCTGTTTGTGCCCATTACTTCCTTTTTTTTAAGGACACAAAACTATTCAATTCAAAGGCAATGCATAGGTCTCCACTGGAGGCTGGTATCTTATTGTAAGGCCATAAACCACAGACAGCATGTTAATTTGGGCATTGTAACAATTCTAGGTAACACTTAGAATAGCAGCAAGCGATTTCTTAGGAATCGTTAGTATTGCACAAATGAGTTACCCTTTGCCTATATCTTCATTTGCTAATTTTTTGGTAGTAAATGAACCGAATGTTATCTGAATAAATATAGGAACAAACTCTTAAATATAAATTTAAAAATAAATCATTGCACTTAGTCCATTGTTAATAGTAACATTCATAAAATAATTTCTATTGCTATGTATATCCTTTCCCATTTAACTATATTTAAAGTGGTTCCAAAAAATGTAATCTGCAGATATTTGGGGGTCTTATAAACACTTTTAGAAAGTCTGAGGATTCAAAATTATTTTGTGGTAATTATATAAGATGCTATTTGCCTTTTTTAGTGTGTTGATATTTCTACAGATGGTGAACAATAATGGCATGTAAAACTACTGGTGTTTTAGCATAAATGAAAGAATCGGCACCAAACTGGGCAACTAGTCATGGTGTTTTATATTACCACACCCTTGCAAAAACAAATACAGTTTTTCTTAAGAATTCCTTGGTAAGGCAGTAAAATCATTCGTTTTAATTATTGACTCTCTTATACATGTATTTTTAATGTCATCTCTGAATCAGTTTGCTGAGATGCAGTTTCACACAAAGCAGAGCTGAAACACAATGGTTTTCTCAGAAAAAAAAGGCCCTTTGGTTACTGTTGGGGTTGCAAAGCGAATGAGCAATCTTCTCATGGGATGCCACTTTTACTTGGAACAACTGACACAGTTTTTCAGATGGGTATTGATGTTTTCCTGAAGAAACGAATAAAGTAAGGCCATTATTGCATTTAAAAGAACTGAGATGCACTTCAAGTATTGAAAAACTTGGAATTTTGGGAAGTTAGTGTCTGCCACTGTCAGCTTGCTAATACATCTTAAGGAGTTGCCTGGTCATATTTTTGGTGGTATTACCATGTATCTTTTAAAATGACTATATGATGAAATATGTTAATATTTGGGATATCTGCATACCTTTGAATTAATGTTTTGCATATGAAGAATGTACAATGTTATAAGGTCACACATGGGTAAAAGTTCGCTCCAAGTGCAAGATTGACTAGTGGATTTTAATGTAATAGAGTACAAAAAGATCATTAATGCAGTTTTAAATTCTCGTAGATACTAAAGACCTTGTGTTTGTAGAATCTCTAATAAAATGTTAACCGTCCTCAAAGGGCTTTCTTCTTAAACTTTACTTTTCTCCAGCCTGTCTACATGTTAGCAAGGATTAGCTGATGATCATGGTCAAGCGTTATTCCTGGTCTAATTATTTGTCTCAATGGAGTGACCAAGCCTTTGCTAGATGCGGTGGGAGCTGTGACATTCAGGGTTGCCACACACTTGCACAGTTGTGCCCTGGGATGGGCAGTAATCCCAGGGCTGTGTAAGTAGCATCATTCTCTGTTCAAAAAAGCATATCAGTATGCAAGGAAATGAGAGGGATGGCTAAACTTACATCTGATTAAATTTATTTAAAATACAAATTAATATCCTACTTATTTATGAAAAACTCCTAACTTCTACCACACTACAATTGAGAACTCTTATGACACACGGTGAGCTTTGGAGGCAGAGACTGAGCCCTCTCTAAGCTTGAATCCCTGCCCTTGGCACAGTGTACGGCACTAGGAAGGCACCCAAAATGTCTGTGGACTTGAACATTACTTTTTAATAACTTCATATTTGATCATCTTCCCTCCAATGACTTATGCTGTTTTATAAGTTTTGTGTGAATCAACTGTATGAAATGTAGGAAAAATGTACATGTATAACCATTATCATGCAGTTTCTAGGGTTCTTCTATGAAGCTACTGGGGATAATGTAGCGGGCCTGGAAGATTAGTGTTAGACATAATTCTAGGTCTTGAGAGCCACTTCCTGGAACAGAGAATTTTTAATTGCATACAGACTGGGTTATGGACAGCATTTTGAGTGAATGAAGACTGCCTTGCCTATAAAATTTCTCTGTGTTTTCTGGTTAAGGCCCTTCTGGGTCCTCAGGGGCCTGTATTGATTGAAGTCTCCTTCCCCTCCCCTACCCCTTGCCCAAGTCCTGGCCTGACTGCCCTTACAGGTGGATAAGCAGTCACAGCAGTGTGTGTGGCTTGGCCATTTATAAGGGGCTTTTGTTGGTTTTATGTGCAACACACATTGATAGGCATCATGGTTACTGGCAACTATAATTTGACTTTTTTTCTTTAAAAAAGAATCCTGTACTTGATATTTAGTTTAAATCCTCTTTTTTATCATCTTTCTGATGTTTGACATAGCTCTATATCAGGAAATCCTGTCAGCTACACTTTCGATTGCAGCCAGCATTTGACTGTCTCCCAGTACTTCCTCTGTAACTGCCTCGGCACAGCCTGCTCTCACTTCTCTGCTGGGTGAATGCATTGGCTTCCGAATATGTCTTCCTACTCATCCCCTTCACTGTCTACAGCCTGTTCTCTACTTCACAGCCAGAAGGATGCTTTTAAAACCTAAGTTACATCATTTCCTCCTCTCCAAGTCCTCCAGTGGCTTCCCAACTCACTCAGGATAAAAATAACATGCTTACAATGTTCTGCAAGGTTCTGCAGCGTGCAAGCTCTCACCTGCCCAACTTTCTTCTCTCCACTTGTGCACTACACACATTAAATACCCCAGTGCCTTTGCACTCACTATTTCTTCCACATAAAATGTTCTTTTTCCCAATACACATATGGTTTACTCTCGCTTCTTTTAATGTTATTTTCCGTCATTTCATAACAGAAAGAACTATCTAGACCAACAATTTTCAACATTTTTAATCTCATGACACACAAACTAATTACTAAAATTCAGTGGCCCACCCAAAAATATATTTTTGCCAATCCGACAAAAATAGGTATGATTTTGATTAGTTACAAAAAATAATAATTACTTACCCTTTTTGTTCTGAAGTGACTTTTTAAAAATAAGAGGTGTCTGTACTTTCATAACACAGTAAAGATTTCTGGTAGCAAGAATTACCCAATTAGGTGCAAGCTTATTATGCTACATGAACAATAAGCTGCAACAGTATTATATGACCTATATACATTTATGATTCAAGTCAGGGTACTCACACTGCATGGTTATTGTTATGTTGTCTATTGTCATTTTTTTTATTTGACAGTCTCAGGGAAAAGAGGTCAGTGCTCCTGGCTAAGTAGTCATACTGCATGTTCTAGAAGTTCTTGCAGCCCGTGGGTTGAAAATCACTGATATATACTATACTGCTAATCTCAATCAAATTTCTCATTTATTACTCTGTTCCCACAGAATAATAAGACAAATTAAATGACTATTTTATAATTCTCTCAAAGACAATACAGCTTTTGTTGCCTTCTAGCCTATAATAGAAATTAATTAATTACATGAAATGGGAACCTTGGGCTATTAAGACTTAAGGCTTTCACATTACCCTGGTTGCAACAGGTTGAAGAGACATTCTCCCCTGTCCAGGTGTATCTATTTCCTTAATATTATTTCATTTATTGCTGTAGCACTTGATTGCCATCTAAACATGAGTGTATGTGTGTATACATATATAAATTAAATATAATTATTTCTATAAATAAAATATTAAATATATATACATATATGTACATATGTGCTTGCATGTTTATAGTCTGTCTTCCTCACTGGAATGTAAATTTTATAAGGACATGGATTTTATCTACTTTCTTCTGTTTTGTTTTATTCACTATGTAAAGCCTAGGGCCCAGGAGATTGCTTTATAAGAATTGGAAGCTTAATAAATATTCTCTTAATGAATCATGATGTGAATAAATTTTCATGTTTCTTGCAAGCATAGTATAAGAGTAATATGATTGCTAGGCAATTGGAAAAGTGACTATGTTTAGAAACTTTTCTATCCAGCTCCCCCACCCCAAATTCTGAACTGAAGTTTTACCTGGGAAATTTGAAGCTGGAACTTAGAGAATTCAGCTTGAATTATGCAAACTGTGAAGCTCTTAAGATAATTTTATTTCAGTAATGCTCATCTTACACCATATTCTGGCCTTTTGTTTCTTATGTTGTGTTGTAACACTTTGTTTATCTGTGGGCCAGACAGTAGAGTCTTAGCATTAAGAGATCATATTTGTTTTCTTTGAATAAGTGTGCTGCAGCATAAGCTTTGTACAGAATGAAACTATTATATGAATACATAAAATGTACAAAAGCATATAAAGTTGAACAGAATTCTGTTCTGTTTTCATTTTCTCTAGCTTGAAAATTATGAAACTAGTTACTAATCAAGAACTTCTTGGACATCTAAGTGGTGTAAGGAGAACTTTGTAAGGGCATGGAGTCTGACTCTCCAACTTACAGTTGTAACTCTTAACTTGCAATTGAGCATTTCTGCTGAGTCATTTACCTCTAGGTCATATCTACACTCAAATACTGTCCACTCTATAAACACCCTCACACTCTACAGGAATGAGAAATGGATGTCAAATTGTTTTTTAACAGCTTACACATTTGTTATACAACTATAGTAGATATTGCTACCATTTTAGGTTATTTTAACTGTTTAAAACTATTTCAGCCTTATTCAAAAATAAACAATCTCTGTAATAGAAATATATGACCATCTCCCTCCATGGTTAATGAGGTAACACACATGCCTGATCCACCATAGGCAATGGGTACAAGCATGGCAGTAATTACTGTTACGGTAACTATGTCATAGCTCGCTCTTCCAAACTGGAAATTAAATCCCCTCTTTTCTCTGTCTTCACTCCCAGGGAAGGATTTTACTTTTAAAATGTTAGGTGCTCACACTTCTCATCTCTAAGGAACAAACTATCTTCCTTTCAAAATGTTACAAAACCACAAGCACAGTTTCTGATGAAAATTTTATTTATATCTTTGATCACCCTAAATACTCCTTATTATATCTTAGCACCCCACATGAAATCCTGAGTCCTCTTCTAAATATCACATTTTCTTTCTACTCTCTCTCTCTCCTCCAAAGTTATGTTTGTACACTTGGATTTTTTTTATTGTAGGAAATCATACTTTTATACCTTGAAGAGCTAATGAATAATTCAAGGAAAAAATAAGGTGATTTAGCAGCAGGTAGGCAACACAAAAAATTTGATCAATTATTTTGATTTTTGGCTTCTTGTTCTGATATTTTAATAAACATATATTCTATCCAAACACATTAATTACAGACACCAGATGCCACAGAATAAACCTATAATATCCTTAGTACTCATAACTATCACATAATTCTATAAAAAGCCTCAATGTGGAGCTCTAGTTTTTATACTATTAGAAATTTCACATTCTCAGAACCTGAAGAACCTAAAATACATAAGAAATACATTGCCTACTCACCAGGGTACAACTCAATGAATCCGTCCACATTTTGTGCCATGGTGCTATTGGGATGCTGGTAAATGTCCTGATCCACTTCATACTCAACAAAGAATGCAAATAAAACAATCATACCAACCTCCAGGCCAATGGCCATGAGAGGGAATTTGAACCTCATGTTTGTGGCAAAGGCCAGAGGCACACTGAGTGCTTCACAGGCTGTGGGAGGTTGATAAACAGGGAGGGGCTGCTCTGTGTGTGATATTAGCCTGCACGTTAAAGACACTCCAATGATACTGCAAGAAAAAAAGTGGGCAAGTCTGGTTAAAACGTCCCACCCACTGGGAAGAATTATGCTCTGTAATCAAATTGCCCTCAGTGTTGGCTCGAAGTGTATTCAGGTTAGATGGGAAGAAGCCAGGGGATGGAAATCATCTATTGTATAAAAGTGTCTTGGATCCTAATGAAGTTAATTAACAGACACTTATTTTTTAATTTTCAACTATAGTTTACTTTCAACATTATTTTGTATTGGTTTCAGTTTTATAGCATAGGAAATAGACAATCATATACTTTATAAAGTATATATATACTTTATACTTTATTTCCAATATTTCCAGTACCCACCTGGCATCACATATAGTTATTACAACATTATTGACTATATTCCCTAGGCTATAGTTTATGTCCCTCTGACTACTTTGTAACTATCAATTTGTACTTTTGATCTTTTCCACTTCTTTGATCCAGACCCCCCAATGCCTCTCTCCTCTAGCAACCACCAATCCTCTCTCTGTATCTATGACTGTTTAAAGTTTGGTCACTTATTCTGTTCTTTAGATTCCACATATAAGTTAAATCAGCTGGCATTTGCCTTTATTTCTCTGACTGACTTATTTCACTTGGCACAATGCCCTCCAGGTCCATCTATACTGTCACAAATGGTAAGATTCCACTCATTTGTATGGCCAAGGAATAGTCCATTGTATCACTTCTTTATCCATTCATCTATTGGTGGGCACTGAGTTTGTTTCCATATCTTGGCATTTTAAATAACACTGCAATGAACATAGGGGCGCATCTAATTTTTCAAATTAAAGTTTTGGGTTCCTTTGGATATATTTCCAGAAGTGGAATCACTGGGTGATAAGACAGTTCCATGTTTAATTTTTGGAGGAAACTCCATACTGTTTTTAAAGTGGCTGCAGAAGTCTGATTCCCACATTCCCACCAACAGTGCAGGAGGGTTCCCTCTTTCCACATCCTTGTCAACACTTGCCGCTTGTGGATTCATTGAGGATAGCCGTTCAGAGAGGGATGAGATCATACTTCATTGTGGCTTTAATTTTTATTTCTCTGGCAATTAATGATATTGAGCATTTTTTATATGTCTGTTGGTCATCTTTAGACATTTCTTGCATGCTTCTTATATGACAGGCACAGCTAGGCTCTACAGGTGACAGAAAACAAAAAATAGAAACTGCCTATAGTTAACTTTCTTTAAAAAGGTAATCTAGTTAGGAAGATGAAAATGTAAGCACATGATTGTAGAAAACAGGGTAGTAGAATAACGGTTCCAGAAGCTTTAGGTAACAAAAATAAAGCAGCAATTTACTTTGTCTTGGGCCAAAGACACTAGCATATGAAATGGTGTGGATGGGGCATTACTATGTGGAACAGACTGACAGATCTCAGAGGGGTGGACTGGATAAACCAAGGTGGATGGATTCACCAAAGAACACATGTGCATAGCCCATAGACACAGACAATAGTGTGGTAAAGGCAAGGGGATGGGTGGGTGGGGGCTGGGGGGGAGGTGGGCAAATGGGAAGAATATGGGGGATGTATGTAATAACATCAACGATAAAAAATAAATACACAAGAATAAAATGGGCTTTTCCTGGCCAGGTAGCTCAGCTGGTTAGAGTGTTGAACCCATATGCCAAGGCTGTGTGTTTGATTTCCAGTCAGGGCACCTAGAGAAGCATCAGTAAGTGGAAAGACAACTCTCTCTCTCTGCTTCTCCCTCTCTCAAATCAAGAAATATGATTTAAAATAATCGACTTTACCACTAAAACACACAGAGAGAGAACAACATAAGGCTTAGTAGGACATGGCATGTTTGAGGAATAGTGAGATTAATTACATAAAATTGGATTACAGGAGAGATGAGAAGGATACCTTTGATCGTAGCTGGGCTGGTTTGCAAAAGGCCTTGCACTCAGTATTACAGATGCTGGATTATTAGTATACGGGCAGTGGGGGAATTCAAAGCACTATAAGAAGCAGTTTTGCTTATTTAGGATAATGTGTTTTTTTCTTGAATCCTTATTTTATTTTACACAAATGTAAGTATAGGTTTACACAAATACATTTTTCTAGTTTTAAAAAACAAGAGAGTGAATTTACATGTGGACATGGCCAATCCTCTCTCTTTACAAATTGTCTCATGTAAATAAGAAAAGAAATGATTCAAAATCACTATGATGATTTGCCTCCAGGCTGGAGTTGTTCTCTCAGCAGGATAGACCTGAGTTTGAGAAATTATAGCCAGCAGTGAAATAACATTCTTATCACGAAAGTCCATTTTCCAAAGGTTTTATTCAGAATATGAAGGAGGGGGAAAGCGCAAACAGCTGCTGGGCCAAATTCTACACCAAAACCAATGTTTACTAAAGAAAGAAGCAAGTTTGTTTTGTGTTATTTTGTCGTCCTGGTATATTTTTCCACAGGCGAACATGAGACATTGGGGCTAAATGATCTCTGATGTTTTACACATCTGCAACTCAAATATTTTGAGGATGGCTATTTCCAGTGCTCCTTACAGGAGGGCCCCACAGACGCGGGTTTCCATGCTAATTGTGGCAATACGTGTGCACAGTACACACTTTGATGTCTGGCCTTAGTGCTCCTAAGACCGCCAACAAATCAGAAACACAAAGCATGCTAATCACTATATGCTAATCTATGAAATAACAAGTAACAAATTATACATTGAGAGAAGTTCTAAACAATATCATACATAAAGGTATGGTTTACACAGCTGAATATAAAGTATGTCATATATATTGGAGTATTTGGTTGAGGAGTTCAGATTGGTTGCCCTTCTTCTGAGCATACTCTCTCCTATTGAAATAAGCTGAGTCATGTATAATCTGGGAAGTAATGATTTCTCTCTTTTAGCTCTTCACTCAAGCTGTTCTCTCTAAATGGGGCATTCTTTCCACACATTCCCTCCCAGAGTCCTGACCCCCCATCATCCAGCTCTTAGATAAAAGGTTACTTCCTTAGCGAAGCCTTGCTTGACCTCCCATTTTAACCCAGCTTCTTCCCATTATCTCTCATTGAAAAATGATCTTTTCTTTCATACCACTTCCCACGGTTGGTTTCCTGTGTCTGTTTATGTGGCGTTTATGATTTACATGCTGTTTTAAAAAAGGGCTGTTTTCCTCACTGCCCTGTTGCTCCCTGAGGATGGAGGCTGTCTCTTTTGCACATTATTTTTTAAATTTTTAAATTTTAGTTGACATATTCAATATTTTATTAATTTCAGGTATACAGTATAATGGTTAGACTTTTATATAACTTATGAATTGAGGCCCGGGTAAATCTGGCACAGACCTGACACCATACATAGTTACTATAATATTATTGACTATATCCCCTAGACTGCACTTTACATCCCCATGACTGTTCCGTAACTGCCAATTTGTACTTCTTAATCCCTTCACCATTTCCCTCATATATCGTTTGTTTTCTAGAGTCGATACTGTGCCTAGCACACAGTGGACAATTAGTAAATATTATTTGAGTGAATTAAATTAACAGCAGTGTTGAAGGGAGAAAAAATCTCAGAAAGCAGTCCAAATCCTGTCGTGAAGTGAAACAGAGACAGCCTCACTGCAGCGAGTTGCATAAATGTGTGAGATCCCAGGAGTAACTTTAATATAGCGGTTCATTCTCTCGTTACCTCAGTTAGTGAGGCTTATCAGGATCTCCCTGGCTTGAGCAAGCTGAAAATCAAGCTCAAATCATGAAGCTTGGAATCAAAGATCTGGCACACAGAAAAGAGTAGAGTGACCTGGACAGCTCTAAGAGCCTTTAAAGAGGCCTCTCTCCTGACAGTTCTCAGCCATGAGAGAAACAGGCAGGAGAGCAGGGGAGTTCTGAAGTGCCTTCATGGACTTTCAGTAGGTGAGGTAAATCTGAAATGATTATGAATGACAAAGCCATTTTCTCATCCTATGCTGATCTTGAACTTGCTGTGTGGCTTTAGGAAAGTGATATTAATTTCTTTATCTCAATTTCTGAATACATGTAACATTGGCTAATGGTCATTATCAGAAACTTCTATTGGAGTTGCTTATTCTTGTTAGCAATGGCTGATCAAAATATGAACCACTACTCATTTTAAATTCTCTCTTTCTCAACTCTCTTGTGTACTGATGCTGAGAATGCAGATTGGAGTAGCCACTATGGAAAACACGATGGCATTTCCTCAAAAAATTAAAAGTGAAACTGCCTTATGACCTAGTGATTCCACTCCTGGCAATATATCCAAAGAAATTTAGAACACTAATTTGAAGAAATATATGCACCCCTATGTTCATTGAAATGTTATTTACAGTAGTCGAGGTATGGAAGCAACCTAAGTGCCCATCAGTTGATGATTGAATAAAGAAGTTGCACAATGGAACATTACTTGGCCACAAGAATGAATGAAATCTTACCACTTGTAACAACATGGATGAAGCTAGAGGGTATTGTGCTAAGTGAAATATGTCAGACAGAGAAAGAAACTTACCATATTGATTGCAGTTATACGTGGAATCTAAAGAATAAAATAAATAAGTAAATGAACAAACAAAATGGAAAACAGACTCACAGATAAAAAGAACAAACTGAGGGTTGCCAGGACAGAGGTTAGGGGGCTGGAGGAGAAAGGTGAAGGGACTAAGGAGTACAAATTGGTAGTTACAGAATAATCATGGGGATGGAAAGTACAGCATAAGGTATATAGTTAATAATATTGTAATAACTATGTATGGTGCCAAGTGGGTATTAGAATTAGTGGGTGTATCACTTTGTAAATTATGTATAATTTACATATATAAACAATGAAATATAATTTATATATGTAAGTATACATATATAGTTACAATTTATACACATATAATTCATGCATAATTTATAATTATATATAACTATTAAAATATAATTGTCTAACCACTATGCTCTATACCTAAAACTAATGTAATATTGGATGTCAACTGTAACTGAAAAAAAGCACTCTCCCCAGTTTTTCAAAGAAAGGATGTTCCCATCACATTTCCCTTGCTTCACTAATAATAAAAATATATGCAGTAGCTGCTATCCCACTGTATATAATTAAATAAAG